GAGCCTCAAGGGGAAGGAAAGACAGCCAAGCCCTGAGGGCCGAGCCTCCCAATATCCAGGAGGGGCCCGGACTGTGGCTCTTCACGGCAGAGGTTCTGCCTTCTGAGGTCCTCGGGGAGGGTGGTCCCAAGGTGGGGACAGGTGGGGACCGTGTGGTCGTCTGTGGCACAAATGCCAGTCACCGCAAAAGCTTCTCGGCTTGTCGCCATACCATAATACTGTGGGAGCTCCCGTGCACAGCACCTCGCTGACGCTGGGGTAAAGGAGGTGCCTCTGGCAGAAGGGGCTCTGGGAGGAGACCTGTCCCGGGACAGGAGGGAAATGGTCCACGTCTGTCCCAGGGTGAGGCGGGAGGAGGAAATCCGCTCGGCACATCGGATCAGGCGCTCCCTGCGTCTAAGAACCCCGAGGTTCACTGCTCGAGCAGGGGCTGTAAACCAGGCCTGCCTGCCACCTGTCTTTGCAAACAAAGTTTTAGTGGGACACAGCCACGCCCATCGTGTACATATCCTCCAGGACTGTGTGGCCCACAAAGCCTAAAATATTTGCTGTCTAGCTCTTTACAGGAAATGCTTGCCAACTCTGCTCTAGAGGCTTGTAGCGAGGGGACATCCGAGGGCCTGGGGCCTGGGGTGCATTCAGGAAGCTCTGACACGTCATCCCACCCCAGGGGACCCAGCTCCAGGCTCAGGCGCAGGGCCACGCATGCCCAGATGTGACTGGCTGGAGAGAGCCATTTAAATGCATTCATTTACCAGGAGCCCAGCTGCATGGCCTCGGCAGATGGGGGGTGGAGGGGCGAGTTCTTCGTGCCTGGGACCTTCACTCCGATTCTTCTCTCTCATGACAGTGTCTGTTTCTTCTCTCCCCTCCCCACCCCCACTTGTCTGTCAAAACAAAGAATGCCCTTGCTCTCTAGAAGACGGATGCAAATCTGTGGTTCGTAGGGCTGAGCAACCTTCCAAACCTGTGAGCTCAGGAGCCCTTGCAGACGATTCTGGAGGGCAAGTGCAGGATGAAGTGAGATAAAGTCCGTGACTCGTGGGGAGGGGTCAGAAGCACCAGGGGATGTGCCGGCTTCCGGAAGAGTTTGTGCTCAGATGGGGTTTGCAGTCATGGGGCCACCCTACAACCGTCCCCACCTATCACAGGAGGCAGAAAGCCACCATGTGGCTGCCCCAGAAACATCCTTTCTGCTGCACGGGCTGTCTGTGGGCTGCTGGCTAAGCCAGGCTCTGCACTGGGAACGACAGGTATTCCACGTGCCCGGGACGGGGGCGAGGGTAGCGGAGAGGCCAGTGGGGCCAGACTTTGGAGGCCGCCTGGGCCGTGTTACGGAGCTTTGGGGTTATCTAGGGAGGTGGGGGTTTGAGCCGTGGAGGCAGGGTCAACTTTGTGGGTTGCCACGGTCTTTAGGGCAGCTGTGGGGTGGGGGTGGGGGCAAGTGGGTCAGGGCAGCGGTGATTCACTTCTGACGCTTCGGGCTGATGGGGGGACAGAGAGCCTGTGCCGGTCACCAGGAGCCGCCTGGCTGCAGGGCCGTGTGGAACAGCGGCAGCGTCCGTGCTGGGCGAGGAGCGTCCGTGCTGGGCGAGGAGCCGGTCAGGATGTTCATTCCGTGCCCTCGGTCCCTCCCGTGATGCTCCGTGGAACTCGGGACCCACATGGTGAGGGCCCCGTGAGGAGACCGAAGGCCTAAGGTGGCTTCAGGCAGGATTGACTTTGGAGGGACGCTGGGGAGCCCCACTCTTGCTGCCTGCCTGCCCTTAGAGTCCCACCGGCCTGCCCTCTGCCCGAATCGAGCGGTGAGTCAGGGACCAGGCATGACCGAGTGTGGCCAGGCTGCTGTCCGGGGAGGACCATGGGGGACTCGGGCCGTTCGCGGGGCTGAGGTGACGGGACACTTGAGGTCAGCTGGCCCCTCAGCTCCCCGGGGCACCCCTGCAGCAAGGAGTCCCAGCCTGTGACACTTGAGAGGGACCCGGGTGAGTGTGGCAACACCCCCGTGCGCCCCAGTCCTCATCCTGGTGAGGCTTGGCCATGGTGGCATTTCCGGAAGTTTCTGCCGTCAGGCTGTCTCCCGCAGGTGGACTATTTAATTAATGGGAGGTACGCTGGGCTCCTGCAACCAGTCCTCTCAGCCTGCCCCCCCGTCTCAACAGTGGCGCCCCCTTACCAAGTCCACAGCCTCCTGGGGCTTCGTCCCTGCCGGCACATGCCTCCCCGCCCCTCACCTGGAGGACAACCTACCTGTCCAGTCTAATCGCAAGTCTCGCCACACTGTCCCTCGGCCCCACCCTGCTGCTGTCACCTGCTGCTGTCTCCCACTTGCCTCCCAGCAGGTGGATCCCATCCATCTTCTAGAGCAGTGATGGCAAACCTATGACACGCGAACTCATTTTTTTGGTTGATTTTTCTTTGTTAAATGGCATTTAAATATATAAAATAAATTTCAAAAATATAAGTCTTTGTTTTACTATGGTTGCAAATATCAAAAAAATTCTATATGTGACACGGCACCAGAGTTAAGTTAGGGTTTTTCAAAATGCTGACACGCCGAGCTCAAAGGTTCACCATCGCTGTTCTAGAACATGGCTCAGGTGCCACTTTCTCAGCAAACCTTCTCTGATACCCACTCCCACCCACCCGCCCGCCTGAGTTCAGTGCCTCCTCTGGGCCCCTGCAGCACCCTGTCTCCCACCCTCACCCGGTCTCCCAGAGGACCCGCCTGCAACTTACCCTTCAAGACCCGCCAGGCGCCCTCTCCTCCAAGCTTCCTGCTCGAGTCACGCCTCCGCTCCATGTCTGCGCCAGCCCGCAGGGACCTCTTTTCTGTGTCTCCCGAGGACGGCAGGCTTCCTGGAGGGAGCTGTGTGGCTTCCACCTTCTTGTCCTGTGCGCTGCCTGGCACAGGAGCGGGCACTGGGGTGTTGGACGGTGGATGGGTGGGTGGCTGGATGGTGGCTGGCTGAGTGGCGTCTCCGTGTGAAGGGCCTGGTCCGCCGTCCCGGGCGCACAGAGATGCCGTGGGCCTGGTCTGTGTCCCTCGGCCACAGGAGACGTTGAGGAGGAAGACTTGGCCCATCTTGGTGATCAGGAGGCCTCAGCCCTTGCCCTGCTGCTCCTTCAAACTCTGAACTCGGGGGTGGGCAGTGGGCACTTGTGGGGTTGAGACTCAGTGGAACTGGGTCAGGAGGTGCTTTAAACCATCAAACACAGACGCTGGTCAGATCACTAACCACCGTGGCTGAGACGCGGCGCGCTCTTCTGGGTGCCAGCCTGGTCGAGGCACTTGGCTCGTTGGCACGCCAGACCAGGCCAGAGCCCTGCACACGGGAACGGCGCAGTGCTGTGCCCAGGCCAGGCCAGGCTGTGCGTGACTGACCGGACGCCTTGTCTCTTGATCACAGATCCCTCGGCCACATAGCCGGCATCATTAGCAGCCTGAGCGGCAGCTGGGAGCCTCAGGGACTGCCCAGCCTTGCTCCCGGCTCACCCACAAGATGTGGACAGCCCTGGTGCTCGCTTGCATTTCCTCCTTATCCTTCTCTGAGAGCCGAGTGGCGCCCCGGGATCCAGGTGAGTGAGAAAGCGGGGGGATTGCTGGACAGGCCCCAGTGGCCCCAGCGCACCCTCAGCCCGAGGGGTGTCTGCGAGCCCCGGCTGAGAGTGGGGAGCCCCCGAGCTCCACGGAGCCAGGCTGGGAAGGGCTGTCAGACGGAGCTTCTGCAGGCCCAGCGAGGGTAGGGAGCCCCCTCTGGGCCGGGCCTCTGAACCCTGAGAGGGTCTCTGGCTGGACCCTGCAAAGCTTCATTTCCAGAAGCCTGGTCTTTGCTGGGGAGTTTGTCCATTCGGACCTCAGACACTTGG